TTTGTGAGCGGAATGCTCTGCCTGAAATTGGTTCACAGTCAAATGCTCTAGAAACGTCATGCCACTAAGTCCAGGCCATATGGTTCTGTTTGTACATCCCAGGTTACACAATGTCCTACTTATCTTGAAATACTGGGCTGTCCCTTCCTTATCTTGTGACCTCTCCCTCTGGCCGCGTGGTGTCCCATGGGTCCGGAGTCCACGGCCACTACCTGAGCCATGGCCACAGGGCAACCTTTGCCCCTGACAGATGGTCTTTCACCAAATGAAGGCCGGGCCTCTGCATCGCTTAGTGAAAGCTTATGTGTAAGGAAGAGAGAAAGTCCCTGCAGCTAGGCCCCCTCCCCTGCTACAGGAAGTGAACGTGTTTCTTTTTTTTGGTACTGGGGATTGAACTCAGGACCTCACGCTTGCCAGGCAGGCGCTGTACCACTGAGCTAAATCCCCAGCACGAACAGAATGTGTTAAAGCGGAGCTGAGTGTGGTAGAGTGCACCCCTGGGTGCTATGTGCACGGTGAGGATTTCAGGCCAGCCTGGTTTAGTAATTTAGTAAGACCCTGTCTCAAAAGAGAAAAATGGCCGGGGATAGCTCAGTGGTACAGCACCCCTGGGGTCAATCTCTAGTACTACCAAAAAAAAAAAGTCACGCTAAAATGAAGGCATCTAGTACACCAGCCAAAGGTTCAGTGGATGTGTGCTAAAGCTAAGAAGCTGGTTATGAGAGAACTTTCCTTGTGAACTGCAGTAGCTTTCACAGCTGTAGAATTCATGTTTAAAATTACTGATCAAGGGCCAGGGATACAGCTCAGCCACATAGCACCTGGGTGGCAGGCGTGAGGTACTGAATTTGATTCCTGGTACCCCCCCAAAATAAAATAAAATAAAACAAATAAAATAAAATAACTGATCGAGAAATCACTGGCCTTGGACCAGGTGTGGTGGCATGTGCCTGTAATCCCAGCACTTGGGAGGCTGAGGCAGGAGGACTACTATGAGTTCAAGGCCAGGCTGAAGTGTATAGTGAGACCTTGTCTCAAAGAAACCTCAAAGCCAAAAACAAGTCAAATCACTGTCTTTGACACCATTTTGTTGCATGCAATTGATCAGTGGATTTTGTTATTCAAAAATTAAAAAGACTTCTCTGGTTAACGTTGAAAAAATAAAGTTGGACCACAGTTTTCCTCTAATATATAATAAAGTAGTCGCATGTCACAAACTCGTGTGAACCCTGGCTCACAGCTGACCAACATAAGCCAGCGGAAGCTCAGCGGACGGAAACACCTCCTCCCGCTTGCTGTGGTGCTCTCAGGCACTCAGTCCCCACAGAGCGCCGGGGCACACCGCAGGAGTCAGTCAGCTGCCAGCCAAAACGTACAAACTACAGTTTGTGTAAGGTCTGCATTTCTGTTTAACCAAAATCAGCTCTTGGCACGAGGCTGCGTCCTGAGGCAGCGCAGTCTGTTTTCCAGCCCCAGGGCGCCTGCCTTCCCGCCCAGCTCCTGCAGGCCTCTGAGGTCGCGTGGCCGGGTGGGCAGATGGAGCTTAGGTAAGGACGACCGAGGCGCAGGCGGAGCAAGTGACCTGCCCGCTGCTCACCAGCGAGCGGCCTGGGCTTGCAGCTCTTCGCACACCGACTCGTCCTGCTCCGGTTACCGCCCTGCTGAGCCGGGCCAGGCTGCAAGAACGGGGTGTGTGTGTGTGTGTGTGTGTGTGTGTGTGTGTGCGCTACACAAGCCACACAATATACATTTCACATTTTCCCCAAAAGCGTCTAACCCAGAACTTGCCGCACAGTATGTCTGCGCTGTTTGTTGTAGACCAAGGACCATTTGGCGGAAACGATCTCAGAGCTGTGCGTTTTACCGCGACGGTGTGTCAAAAACAACACGAGGCTGTACGTTTTAAGGTCTTAAGTGCTGCACTGTTTATTAAAAACAAGCGAACATCTCCAGCATATCAAGTGCTTCGATTCGCGTTTCGGTCGGCAAGGACCGCAATGCAGACCCAACACCAGGAAAGTGAGCAGCACGGAGAGGTAAGGGCGGTAACCGCGGCCACCGGACGGGAATCCCGACCCGCGCCCTCCACCGCAGCCCCGGGGCAGACCCGCAGGGCTGGGCGCGGCCCGAACACCCGGGTCACCTCTCCCAGCTACAGCCGCAGCCGGCCGTGCCCGATGGCTCTCGGCCAGCCTGCTCATCCCTCAGGACGTCCTCCTGTCTGCACGACGCCCGAGGAGCAAGCACAGCCATCTCACCTCCCAGCTGGACCGTTTCGTCATCCGCCAGTCACCGAAAAGTGCACGACAGACTTTCCCGAGACGGCTGTGGGCGGGACAGGCTCCGCGGCACCGTTGCCAGAGGGCTGCTCTCCGCAGCTGCAGCGCTCAAGTCTGAGAACTCCGTGCCTGAGGGGCCTTTCCAGAGCTCCTTCCCCAGAGTCTTGGAATGTTCCTTTCTGAGACCGACAAGCCGCCTTCGTCGACGGTATTGTCAGGTCCACCGCACTAAGTATGTGTGTACTTACATAAAAATCAAATACACAGATCATTTCCATACCAAAATTACACAGGAAAAGAGGCTAAGTTAGGTGCTTTACTATGCAACAAAATGCCCTTAAAAATTGTGAAATGGCCAACTGGTCACATTCCAAGCAGCAACTGAGACCTCCACAGTAGTCCTTCCAACAATGAACATGAGCTGTCTGAAAATGTGCAATCAAAAGAAAATCGTACAGGTGACAAGAGTCATTAAAGCAGTGGTTCCCAAACCCTTAAAAAAATAGAAGCAGCCTGGTGTGGTGTGCACACCTGTAATCCCAGCACTTGGGAGGCTGAGGCAGGAGGATCACCGAGAGTTCTAGCCCAGCCTGGGCTCCATAGTGAGTTCAAGGTCAGCCTGGACTATACAGCAAAACCCTGTCTCAGAAATAAAAACAAACAAACAAAAAAACAGGAAGAGGAGAATCACTTTTAAACAGAGGAAGTGTTTTAGCTGCTGAAATCCTGAACTGCATCTGGCACACAGGGGCTGCAGGGCCTAAAGGAGGCGAAGAGGAGGAGGGGGGAGGAGGAGGAGCCTCCCAGGCTCGTGCCCCTTGGTGCGAGCACCGGGGTCCCTTCCAGCCCCACAGCAGCTGCACGCCACTTACAGACTGCAGCTCCCAGCCGTCACACAACAGCAGCTGCGTCAGTTGGGCCAGGACGAGAGGGCGTTCTCAGTCTCCGCAGGAGCTCGGTTTGGGGGAAGGTAGCAGTTAGTGGTGAAGGAAGACCAAGCTGAAGATGCAATGAACTTAATTTTCCTACACGGTGTGCCCCCGGCAGAAGCTGTAGGTGAACGCACGAGGCCACAGCGGCAGTTTCACGTTTCAGTTTCAGTTTCAGGGGCGGCAGAACTGTCTGCGCGCCGTTAACAAAAACCGGAACTCCTCGCCCGTCCCGGGGGCGGCGGCTCGGGGGTCGCTCCGCCGCCTGCCTGCCTGGCTCCTTTTTTTCGTTGTGTTTTTTGGAGACAGGGCCCGCTAGGGAGCCCAGGCTGGCCTCAGAGTCCCGGCGGCCTCCGGAGCGCGGGGGGCCAGGCGTGGCCCCCGCAGGGGACGCGGGAACCGGGGGACAGAGCCGGGGAGGGCGGACGCGCTCGGCTTAAACGCGAAACCGCAGCTTGTTCGCGTCGCTGCCAACCTTACCTTCCGCTGGACTGGGACAGAATAACAAAACTTCAACAAAAATTTCTATTTTAAAAAGAAGTCCTACACTCCACTGTCCTAAATTGGATGAAAACTTTAAAACAAAAACAGCATTTCTACATATAAAGTGCAGGTTCCTGCCTCGGTGTTACCAGTGCGAAGGAAAGCTGCCCCAAGCTATCACCTATTCTACCGACTTTTTTGTCCAAATTGGGTATTCAGGTCTACTTTAATCTGTCAGTTACCAGAACCATTAAAGTTTTCCAGTGAGTGCAAATTAAAAGCCCTATTACATACATTAGCTACTGTTTTAGTTTCTATTACAGACACAAATTACTTTTCTCTTGACATGCTGGTAGTATTCATTTTTACAGTGCAAAAAGGACTGCAGTTTTCTGAGTCACTGTACATTTTACGACTCTAGACAAATGTACTTCAAAGAGCAAATACTGTATTTTTTGACACACCCTAAAAAAATAAAGACAAATAATTTTGACTATAAAATTTTTTATAAACAATAGCCACATCAAAGGTTCACAGCTGGTACGCAGTTGCAGAAAACCTAAAACACTTAAATTATGTCATCTTACTAGGCAACTCGTATTCTAAAACACAAGGCCATTTGACTTCCAACAGTGAAAATTATTACCTAAAAATTTTTTTAATCAACTAGAATTATCACCTAACGAGCTGCCAGGTTTTCATTATTTAAGCCACTAAGTTTACTGCAGTTAGGAACATACTAGGGCAGTTAAAGATGAGGGAAATGTGGAAACAGGTAAGGAAGTAAGATTTGCTTCTTATATTTCTTCCTGAGAATGTAGAAGTTATTTAATATCAAGACTATTTTAAATGGAAAAATCTTACAATAAATTATTTTATAATGTACAGAATCCCCGGTAATATAAACAATTATTACCCTAATATATAACTTGCGAACATGAAGTCTTACAAATTGTATTCATTGAAACAAGGCACATGCCTGTATATTTATCAGAAACGCTGGGTAAATAGTACCTATGAAAAGGTAGATGAATTTTGCTGAAACAAGATAATATCACATTTTGTGACACTGAATTTTGAAGTAACTTTCCTAAAGAAAAATCAGGTCTGAATGAGTGAATAAGGCAGTAAACTTCATGAAAGGTCAGCAGGAAAAAAAAATAGCTGGGTGTGGTAGCGCACACCTGGAATCCCAGCACTCAGGAGGCTGAGGCAGGATTTTTGGTGCAAGTTCAAGACCAGCCTGGGCTACAAAGTGAGCTCGAGCCCAGCCTGCACTGCACTGCACAGTGAGACCCTGTCTCAACAAGACAAAAAAAATCACCAAAATCCTCACCAGATTATAACTGAAAAATCAGTGTTTAAATAAATGAAGGCATTCTACATTAACCTGTTCTAAAGCCAGTGTAAAATGTGGTTAGAGTAGTTTTAGCAATTAAAAAAAACCTATGTAGTTTTTCGGTTGTTTTAAGTCTTATTTCCAAATTAACTATTTCCTTTGTTTTCACTACAATTAGCAATACAAGGTATAATATAGCCTGCAGTAAAGTGAATACTGTATTTATGAAATGTGTTTTCTGTAACTATGTTGATTACGAATTAAAGGATAAATTTCATTTTACTCAAAAACATGATCGTCCCATAAAAGAAAATTGACAAAACTCTCCCACCACTTCCGTGTGCAGGTTTCCTACTGTGAGATGTGTATGAATAAGCTGAAAACACACGTGGGGACAAAATTTGTCAAATCCTAGAATTCAGCATCACCTGTGGAGGCCGGGGATATAGCTCAGTGGCACAAACGCCTGCCTGGCAAGTGCAAGGTCCTGAGTTTGATTCCTGGTGCCCACCTCCACAAAAAAAAAGTGTCACCTGTGGAGATCTGGAAGGAGTCAATCTAGCAAAATAAAAGTATCCTATATGATGTACTGGGTATGGCATACATTTACTATGTCGTTCTTTCAAAACATGGCCTGGGTCTGAGGTGATTCAAATTGAAGTTATGGCAATTCGTGGGTGACAGCGTCATAACAGACCCTTAAGAGAGGTAATGGTGGGGAATACATACTCATGTTCCAGAGAGTACAGTAATTTCACCATGAAAGGTCACCAAGCTCACAAGGGCTATCTGTCAGAAAAACTCTAGGCTGGACGCCCTCGGTGCGCCTGGCTGACAACAGCAGGAGCACGCCCTCTAGCGGGCGGCGACGGAACCACCCTTCCAGAAGTACTTGGCAACTGAGGGACAAACGGCAGAGAAAACACAGCCTTTAGTCCTCCAAAAGTGAGTAGGGGGTGCTCAGTAATTTTCATGCCCCCCCAAACACTGAGGAGTGAGAGCATCTTGGTGGTATGTCTGTCAGGAGAAATGAGTTAGGATGTAATTATCGGATGGGCAGTAGCAGTTGCACAATTTATGTGACAAATTCAACTTATTAAATAAAGCTATGTCATACCAGTGTAAACTCTAAACACAAGTCTGATGCCACAATAAATAATAAATAAGTTAAAAATATATCTCTCTCTTACTTTAAAATAAATATGATATAAACATTTTCTCAGAGGCTTCTGCCCACTTACCTTCCCCAAGGGGTAAGATATAAAAGACTACTGTATTCCAAACTACCACAAGACTACTGACCCTCGAAACCACGACTCCACTTCGACTTGTTTGGAGCAGTTCATCTGACTGCCCACTTTCATATATACACATATCAATTTTTTTTCTCCCCTTGAGTTGTGGACACTGTCTTTTAACCAAAAGAGAAGTTGGTGAACTATCCAGTCTGGAACCCGTAACTTTCAATCCAAAGTGCTCTGCATGTTATTTTAGAACAATCCACCCAGCTGGTTCTCTTTTGATACAGAAGATCCCGGGCTCGAGTGTAGCTCAGCACTTGCCTAGAACCTGCAAGGATCTGGGATTCATCCCCAGCACCACAACAAAAGGAAACTGGAGGTCTCGGACACTTTCAGTTTTGTCTTTCTCTTATATTCCTACTTAAGCGGTTTTCTGGAAATCACTTCGTAGGGACTCACTCGTTTGGGACACAGGAAATCCTCAGGGGCACGCTGCCACAGGACGTCCAGCGCTAAGCCTAACGGGTAACACGAACCGTTTCCTTTCACAAAGAGCAAACTGATTTTTAACATGGTACGGCGCCACCACTGTAAAAACGGGGACGGAAACGATCTTGCTCCCCGCACCCTGTCCATCCAGTGTGTGCTAAGGAATAAGGAATGACGGTGCGCGTTTCAAGGAGACCCCACTCTCACAACACAGCTGTGACATGTTTTTTTCGGTACCAGGAGCTGAACTCACGACCTTGCGCTTGCCAGGCAGGTGCTGTGCCGCTGAGCTGTATCCCCGGCTATAAAAGAATTTCATCTTCATGCTTTCTGTAGCTTTTTCAAAGTCAGTTACAGATGATCTAAGTCTCTTGCTGAGAAAAAACTGGTGTTTGTAAGAACTAGAAGTCTGGCCGTTTGGGGAGTGTGATGGACATGAATGTGTACCCGGCATAAGACGAGTGCCGTGGAAAACCAACAGCTGGCACGGAACCCCTCCTCCTGGGTGATCATGCGTCTGTCTGCGCGGACGGCACGCTACATCTGCACGTCTTCATCCGTGTATTCAGCCTCCTTTACATCCTCTTGGTCCGAAGCGCTGGAGACATCATCGTCCGTCTGTTCTCCCGAGAAGTACAGCATCAAAGCGTGTGTCTTGTGCGTTATGGTGACAGTGCAGGGCCCCTGGGCCCACGGCTCCCCGTCCACCTGCATCGGCATCATGGAGCACTTCAAGATCAGCTGGTGGCAGGAAACAACAGAAAAAAGTCAGCCGCAGGAGAGTTCAGAAAGTCTTTGCTAGTATCACTGTGAGCACTTATTCCTGCCGCATTCTGTTTACTAAATGGGGTTTTCTGGGAGACAGGATCTCTCAAGGCTGGTCCTGAACTCACTATGTGGCCCAGGCTGGCCTGGAACTCATGACAATTCTCTTGCCTCAGCCTCTCGAGTGCTGCGATGACAGGTGTGTGCCACCACTCCCACTATGCATTTTGGTTTTTGAAAACCAATCTGAATACATCCTTTTTTTTGGTCTTTTTTGGACACAGGGTCTTGCTATGCAGTTCAGGCTGGCCTTGAGCTCACTTTGTAGCCCAGGCTGGTCTTGAACTTGCAATGATCCTCCTGCCTCAGCCTCCCGAGTGCTGGGATTACAGGTGTGCACCACCACGCCCGGCAGAATATATCTTAATTCATGGGTTGTTCAGGGATTCTCTTTCAGTGGACACTTTGGTTCTTCACCTGGACTGAGGACTCTCTCCTGTTTCCTCCCCACCCGTACGAGCCCCCGGAGCAGTGTACCGGACAGGGAGGGCCACAAACTGAGAGGAAGGGCCTGGCACGCCTGCCTGTCCGGGCACCTGGTTCACCTACCCGCACTGTGTGTGCTTGTCCTATGCGGAAAGGGTTTGCCAGCTTCACTTGAATTTGAGCGCAGTGGAAAGACCCGTACACTCCAACAACTTCCAGCAGACCATCATCATGCCTAACGGAGGACCATGGGAATACGGGTTACACGGTGTAAGATCACCTCATCCATGAGATGGCAGTTCCTTTCGTAATTTTTTCTTTTCTTTTTCTTTGTTTGAGTGAGGGTCCTGCTATGTAACCCTGGCTAGCCTTGAACTCATTATGTAGCCCAGGCTGGACTTGAACTTGCAGCAATCCTCCTGCCTCAGCCTCTGAGTGCTGGGATTATGGGCTAATTTTTTTTTTTAGTACTGGGGACTGAACTCAGGGCCTCTTCACAGTGCTATACAGCAAGCCCTTTCTAAACTTTTATTCTGAGACTAAGTCTCCTTAAGTCGCTAAGTTGCCCAGGTGAGGCTTGAACTTGCAATCCTGCCTCAGCCTCCTGGAGTGCGGGATCACAGGCGTGCGCCAGGGCAGCTGCTTTCTAACACCTGGGGGCCATCAAGTTATTAAGTGTCTGTATTCGTGAAGTACACAGAACAGAACCCCTGATGGCAAAATATCAGACTTGGGAAGAACAGCAGGGGGCCTTAAAGCAAAGTGACAGAAAACAGCGCCCAGGGGCACACCTGGCCAGCGGGTAGGTCTCGTCTCCCATCCCTTCCCAGAGCCGGCAGCCGCCGCCCCAGTAGCCAATGTTGAGCACGATGATGCCTTCCAAGTTAGGCAGTTCCACTTGCTCGCCGTCCAGCTCTAGCTTTAAAGAAATGCAGACGGTCAGTTACTACAGGGTGCACTATCTGCAGACATACCCATCCCAGCTCACCCCGTGTCGGCCTCAGGCTGGTGGTCTTCTCACGGCCGGCGGCCACCTCCTCTCCTCACTCGGGGCAAGCTCACCCATCTCCAGAGCCTCTCTGCGGTCCTGGGGGTCAACCAGAGGGCTCTGCACATGCTAGGCAAGCACTCTACCCCTGAGCTGCGACAAAACACTGTTAGCATCTAGTTAAGTTTGCCAGGCTGGGAATTTACAGTTCTGCCTCGGCTTCTCCAGAAGCTGGGATTATAGGGCTATGCCACCACATGCCCTAGAGCTTTGTTTGTTTTGTTTTGTTTTGTTGAGACAGGGTCTTGCCTTATAGCCTGGGCTGGCCTCAAACTCAAAGTTATCTCTTATGCCGGGTATGGTGGTGCTCACCTGTAATCCCAGCACTTGGGAGGCTGAGGCAGGAGGATCGTTGCGAGTTTGAGGCCAGCCTGGACTACCAAGTGAGTTTAAGACTAGCCTGAACTGCATAGTGAGACCCTGTCTCAAAAAGACAAAAAAAAAAAAAAAAAAAGAAAAAAAAAATCAAAGTTATTTCCTGCCTCAGCCTCCTGAGTACCGGGGACTATAGGGGTGCACCACCACACCCCACTCGACAGCTCTACTTCACTAGTGAACTGCGTCACACCTACGAATCCAAGTGCCTCCAGAACACTTGCCCACTGTGCCATCTAGGATTCCTGTGTACCAGTGTCAAAATGACACCTCTCCGCAGCCTGCTTCCTGGGACACAGCACAGCCCCGGCCCTCGCCCAGGAACCTGCGAGTCATCCTCCACACCCAATCAGTATAGAAATGATGGCACTTCTGTCACTCCAGACAGCACCTTAGCGGCGGACCTTCACGTCTTCCCTCCCACGTCCCCGGCCGGCCCGTCTCCTCTACCTTTCCCTGCCTCTTCTGTACCCCTCCCGGGGCACCGGGGCTGACACCCAGCACACGCCGTCCCCACAGTGTGTGCTCAGTGCTTGCTTCTGCTCCCCAGGAAATGCGGGTTCCTGAACGCGCCTCTGCGGCCCGGCCGCAGTCCAGCCGTGCAGCCCCAGCTCCCGCCCTATTCTCCCGGCAAGCCCGCTCCAGCCTGAATGCTCTCTCACAGGCCGCACTTCCCCTGCCCCTGCGCCCTGGGCACATGTTTTTTCTGTCTTTTTTGTTTTTGGTACTGGGAATCAAACTCATGACCTCAAGCTTGCCAGGCAAGTGCTTATGCCACTGAGCTACATCCCGGCCCTTTTTTGTCTTTTTACACATGTGGCTCTAGCCTAGCCAATCTTGTCTTCCTTCTTCACTCAGCTGATGCTTAACTCTCAGACTCCAATTTCTCAGTCCTAGAAAGGCTTCCTACTACTGTCACTTTCCCAGACTGTCTCTGGGGTTTCATGTTCCTCTTACTTATTCCTATATACACGCACTTATCCTATCTTTTCATACTGAGCTGCAATATGCGTGAAGTATCTTTTCCCCCTCAACTGTAAACTTACAGCAAGAGATTTATCTGTTTCTGCAGTATCTGGGACAGTGTCTGACTTTTTTCGGTCTGTTTTTGAGACAGGGTCTCGCTATGTATCCTAGGCTGGCCTTGAACTCACAGTGATCCTCATGCCTCAGCCTCCTGAGTGTCAGGGTTAGTCACGTGCCACCACACACGACGAGTACCTGGTGTTTGTCGGTGACTTCACAAGCAACTTGTGTATGAATTAAATGTTCAGCAAAAAAATAACAGTGCTATACACCTCCCCCCACCAATACCATCAAAGCCCAGGAAAAGGGAAGCAGATCAAGTGCCGCGCGGCTCCCCAGAGGCGTCAGCTGAGAGCGGCCCAGCTGCTTCCTCGCTACTGCACACTCAGGCGCCTCCCCCCGCCCCCGGCCGCACTCTCCCGAGCCGCGCACCAGCTCGCCCCTTCTTGTGTTTCTCCTCCTATGTCTTTGCTGCTACTGAACATTACAGACTCTTTTTGGAAACAAGAAAGCAACATACACAAGACTGCCACGTCACGATGTCAGGGCTCTTGCGGAGATAAGCAGTAGCTAATATTCTGTTCTTACTATTTATATGTTTTTGTATTCTGGTATGCCAGAGAGATACCTCACACAAGTCATTTGAATTAAACCTTGCTTCTAAACTTCTGAGAGCTCATGCTGACTTTGGCACCGTACGCCGTAACTTTAAATTTTCTATCGTCCAGCGCATCAGTTACACAGGCTCTGGAGTTAGATAAACCTGGGCTCTGACCCTGACCACCCAGGCCTGGGGGCCAACTGCGTGAATGTGCGCAAATGGCTGTGTACCGGGAATAGAGTCACACTTGTCTCGGAGGGCTGGGGAGAGAATGCAGGGATGATGTGTACAAAGCACTCACCGAAGAGCCCGGCACACAAGTACATGCTTCAGTTACGTTAGCAAAATATGTTGACAGAAACTGCGGTATTGTTATTAAAAATCCTAATTTAGAAATCATCTTTAGAAAAAGTGTTAGTAGCTTACCTCAACTTTTTTATTCAAATCTTTACATTCTTGTACTAAACAATCTTTGGTTCCATAGAACAAATAAACAGCCTATGAAAAATGAAAATAAGATATTAAAACAATCCCACCAACTTTGCAAATGTGAAGGAGAATGTAGATAAATGAAGCGAACATTTAGTAATCACTCTTGAATACAAAAAGAACTGGGCCGGGGATATAGCTCAGCGGCACAAGCGCCTGCCTGGCAAGCATGAGGTCCTGAGTTCAAGTTTCGGCACCAAAAACAAAACAAAATAAGAAACAAAAAAAACCCAACAAAAACACAGAAGTACTGAAATGTTAATTACTAACTATAAATAGCAATATTCATTGCCGTCAGAACTATATTCATAAAAGCGAACCATTTTAAAATTTGAAGCATTTGTAAAACAGAACCAGTAACACAACCGTTTTACATTTCATTCTCACATGTTGTTGCTCAGTCACCAAAAGCCATTAAAAAAAATTCCCAAACAAGACTTCCACTCAGGGACGCGGCGGCACCAGAGCAGAGGCGACGGGCTGCGCGCTGCGGTATGCGGGCCGCGCCTCTCCTGCCTCATCCTCCTCGCGGAGGTTTTCCAAGCTGGTGAGTATGCTTTCCTATTCATGGTTCAACCAAACACTCACTTTGCCTAAAATCTCTTTGCAACTTTCGTTGTCCTTTAAGACTTTATTTCATCTAGCCTCTACCTGAGCGCAGTGTGTTATGAGACACTCTACCTTCCGACTCGCAAAAACCTGCTAGTAACCTACCCCGAAGGACAGGACAGCCCCACCCAGCACGCAGCGCGGGCGTCTCCGTGAGGCCGGGGGGCCCACACGGAAGAGTGCTGCACACACGGCAACTACCGACTTTCACCGACCGGGCCTCGGTGCCGAGCCGGAGACGTCCCTTTGCCCCACTCACCTTATTAAGAATTCTGCTGCAGAACAGAGACGGGGCCTTCTCACGGTGAGCGTGGAAGTTCAGCGCCATGAGCGCGTCCGGCCCCACGGAGAAGTAGTTGTTCATCGTGAACTCCTGGGGAGAGGGCGGGGTGAGCCACGGCAAGCCGGCCTCCCTCAGAAACACGCAGACCCTCACCTCGGGTTCCTTCTGAGGGCCGAACCCTTTCTCTGTTTACTTCCACGCGGCTATTTTATACCATCTGACGAGGCGATGAGCAGCAGGATGAGCAGCGGGGCTCCACTCCAGGCTGACCGCACGGGAGCCACACCCCAGCCCGCCCTGAGGGCTCAGCTGCTCCCACGCGGCGCCCGCTGCGGCTGCCTCGGGCCTTCTTTGCCACCCTCGGGCTCTCTGCCTCTACCCCAGGCTGCTGCTGTCCCCCTCCTTCCCTGAGCTCATCTCGCTCTCCCACTCGCCAAGGCGCCTCAGCCCTCACGGCCAGCTCTGTTCTGGGGCCCCGAGCAACAGCCCTGCGGCCAGCTTCTCGTTCCAGCCTACACGGCTGTTCGGGCCGAGGACGCTCCCGATCTAACTCCCCTTCTTCCCACCAAGCCTGAAACTGTCTCTGCCTTGGTTCATGTCATTTCCACACACCCACTCCTAAAAATGAGAAATCCAGTAGTAATACGTATTTTCTCTCTGCCCCTTACACCCATCAATTGCCTAGTCTCGGCCAGCTCTAACTTTGAAAGCTGTCGGAACTGTCCTCAGCCCAAAAGTCCTCTTGTTTCTGCCCTAGTCAGGCTCTTATGCCACTTTCACATTATCTCTAGGGACACACACACACACACACACACACACACACACACACACACACACACACACACGCACAGGCTGGCTTTGAACACACCACAGAGCCCAGGCTGGTCTTGAATTTGTGATGATCCTCCTGTTTCAGCCTCCAGAGTGCTGGGATTATAGGAATGTGCTACCATGCCTGAAGAGAATCTTTTAAAATACAGACGTGGGTAGGGAGTAGCTCAGGTGGACAGCCAGCAGCAGCGAACAAAAACACTCTCTGATCTCTGTACTATTCGCTAACCACGCTTCACACTCTCCGGCAAAGTCCTCTGCTCCCTTCTCCACTCATCTAAGTTGTATTTACCGTCCAAGGACCAACTTTCTTGTCACCTCCTCTGCAATCGTCTCAGCCAGGCAGAACCAAGCGCCCTTGCACCCCGCTCTCTCACGGGGTCCTGCTTTAGAGACCAGCTAGTGAGGCAGGCACATGGGTTTCTTCTGCTCCATGCCCAGCCCCCCCCCCCGCTCCTCCCCCCAGCTGAGCCCCAGGTCCTGGTAGACCGGGACCACTGAGGCGCTCCATGCCTGCTAGAACTGCTCAGTAAACGAGGCGTGGTGGCGCATGCCTGCCATCCCAGCACTTGGGAGGCTGAGGGAGAACTGCCATGAGTTCAAGGCCAGCCTGGGCTACACAATGAGTCTAGCCTAGCCTGAACTATATATTGAGACCCTGTCTGAAAAAGTAAAAAAATCTCCCCCAAACCCCAAAAACCAAAAAAAACTACTCAGAACCAAAGCACTGAAAACATACCTTGGGTTTTCGTAGGTTGTAATATCCTTTATTGGTGACCTGAACTTTCCACCTATAAAACAGAAGTTTTAAAAAAAATTAGTACTGTTTACCAAAGTACCTGTACTCTGGAAGCCCAACAGATGGAAGTTTTTCTATTAAAACAGCATTTGAGAAAGTATCCACGTCCAAGTAAGCTTGCCAATTTTGGGGAAGTGTTCAACATAACTTAAAACTTTCAGGGGCTGGGGATTCAGCTCAGCGGCACAGCGCCTGCCTGGCAAGCTCAAGGTCATGAGTTCGATTCCTGGTACCGGGGAAAAACAACAACAAAAATCTATATATAGTCTTTTACATTTAAATTGTTTCACTTTAGAGCTACACAAAATTTCATTCAAAACCAAGCTCACACTCTCTGTTATATACATATCTAATTCTCTCTAATACGTATATCTATATATGTTATATATAGAGGTATATATAATATATATAACTTATTTTTTGGTCTTGAGAGACAGTTTCACTATGCAGTTCAGGCTGGCTTTGAAGTCACTTAGTAGCCCAGGCTGGCCTTGAACTTGCAGCAATCCTCCTGCCTCAGCCTCCTGAGTGCTGGGATTAGAGCCAAACAATATTCTGAAAACACAAGAAACAGACTTTTTGGCAAAGTCCCTTACCGATCTAGTTTGATTCCATCTGCTTCCATTACATTTCTTAAGACCTGTGCAACTGGGATTTCTCCAGCATAACCTGCACCCCAGCCCAGAGTATTGGACAGATCGTTGCCTGTTCCCAGAGGCAAGACTGCAACCTGTGGAACGTATTTTTCTTGTCCCTGGAGTAAGAAAGATACAGTTCAGACTTCTCTCTCTGGACTAGTTGTAGCATCATAATTTTTTTTTTGGTCTTTTTAAGACAAGGTCTCGTTATGCAGTTCAGGCTGGCCTTGAGCTCACTTTGTAGCCCAGGCTGGCCTCAAATTCCGGAGTGCTGGGATTACAGGCATGCACCACCACGCCTGGCTGCGTCATAATATTTTATAAAATGTAAAGAACAAAGCAATACACAATTAAACTGTAGGCTGTGTTAACTGCTTAATTACATGCTTATACTATTCAAAATGGCAGTGTCTTCTACTATCTACTAACTACACGAATAAAAAACACTGTATATTTTAGAAATGCTCCTGCAGTTTTGCTGCAGACAGAACCCAGGCCATGCGTGTGCTGGACAGCAGTGGCCACCAGCCAGGCCCTGCACCACTGAGCAACGCTCCAGCCCCAGTACAGTTCTTAAAGGTGGATACCTTAATCTTCATCTCGTCAACTGCGTCCAGGACCCAGCCCACAGTACCATCCCCTCCACAAACCAGGACCCGAGCTGAATAACAGGGAAGGAGAGTACAAATTTGCAGGGCTTTGATAGGAGGAGTTTTGGTTACATCAAAAACCTAGAAATGAAAGAACAAGAAAAAAATTATTTTTATTCAATGCTGTCCTCAGCTGAGGGGGAGGACTCTCCTGTAGCTGAGTTTTTTTTTTTTTTTTGTCTTTTTGAGACAGGGTCTCCCTATGCAGTTCAGGCTGGCCTTGAGCTCACTTTGTAGCCCAGGCTGGTCTCGAACTCGCAATGATCCTCCTGCCTCAGCCCAGTGCTGGGATTACAGGCGTGCATCACCATACCTGGCCGTAATTTTTTTTTTTATTTTGTGGTGCCTGAGATAGATCAAACCCATGGTCTTACATGTACCACTGAGGTACACCTCCTGGCCTACAGTGGCTTTTAAAAAACTACCATTAGTACAAGTTACTACAAATATATGGGAAACAGTTTTGCAAAAATAAAATGACAAAAAAGTGTCAGGCCCCTTAAAATCCATAAATGACTCTAGAAAAATAATTTTTTTTTTGTTTGGTTTTTTTGGAGATAGGCTCTTGCTATGTACTTACAGCTGGCCTTAAGCTCACTATGTAGCCCAGGCTGGCTTTGAACTCACAGTGATCCTCTTGCCTTGGCCTCCACAGCTCTGGGATTACAGGCATGCATCACCATGCCTGCCCTGGGAAAATGATTTTATGTGACAAAAATACGTCAGTGTGGTGGTGCATGCCTGTTATCCCAGCATTCTGGGAGGCTGAGGTAGGAGGATCTCAAATTCAATCCCAACCTGGGAAACATAAGAGACTTGGTATAAGCTGGGTGTGGTAGTGCACACCTATAATCCCAGTCCTCAGGAGGTTGAGGCAGTGGTAGCCAGCCAGGGCTATAAAGTGAGTTCAAGGCCACCCTGAACTGCATAGAGAGAACCTGTCTCAAAAAGAAAAAAAAAAAAGAGAGAGACAAAAGACATGTGGTGCTAGCTATTTATTTGTTTATTTATTTAATTTTATTTTTTGAGACAGGGTCTCGCTATGCAGTTCAGGCTGGCCCTGAGCTCACTTTGTAGCCCAGGCTGGTCTTGAACTCGCAACAATCCTCCTGCCTCAGTCTTCTGAGTGCTGGGATTACAGGCGTGCGCCACCACGCCCGGCTGGTGTTATTTATAATAGTACAAACTGGATAAATTATGATATATGCACTCCATTATTTTAGTCATAAGATATGTAGATATATAATTACTATGACTTTGTTGCAACAGGGAAAAATATTTACATTATTAAGGAAACAGTATGCCGGTACGCACATTTTATAGAACTGTTTTTTGGTCTGTTTGAGACAGGGCTTCCACTATGCCACAGTTTGCGCTGGTCTTAAACTTACTTTGTAGCCAAGGCTGGTTTCAAACTCACAGTGATACTCCTGTCTCAGCCTCCAGAGTACTGGGATGACAGGCAAGCACTGGAATATTCTGTTGCTTTGGTAAGATCCTTCCATACCTCTCTGCAGTCACTCCCCAGGTCTAGCTCCAACCTCAGGCAAACAATCTACTGTCTCCGCTGATTCACCCTTTTGGGAGGTCACACACTTGGAAGCGTACAGTATGTGGTCCCTCGCACTCAGCATAACGGTCTCTGAAGTTCATGTACTGCAGTATGCAGCTGGCTCCTTTATGTCACTGAGAAATATTCCACCGTATGGGTATATTCTTTATCCTCTTACACCTGACGGCAGTTGAGCTATTTCTACTGGCAGGTTACTATGAACAATGTAGGAACATGTGCAAGCAAGCCTGTGGGACGTGTGCTCATACTCCCTGGGAAGACTCCTGGAGGTGGGATTGCTAGGTGATTCGGTGTCTGTTTCTCCACACATCTGAATGGCTTAATCCTTTTATAATTGTTCTTTCCCATAACTAGGTGATTAGTGACTTAAAGCACTAGTAAGTATTGCATTTTAGGGACAGAAGAGCTAAAGTGAAGATGAATAAAGGAAGGAAAGTTTTCTCTTTAGTTACCTGGACTGGATTTAATAAGATCCTAAACTCTCCCAATAGTCCTTCTCCCATGTTAGTTCCACTGCGAGAGTTGGCCAGGATTATTAATGGGGTCCACTGCTTTCCAAACTTGGATGCTAGCTGAAAAAAGTTAACATAAATGGAAAGTAGTTAGTATTTCAGAGATGGCAAACACAACATATTTTTATTCTTTGATAACAATCATGCTATAATTTACTGAAGTAAGAACTATGCCAATATAGCAAGCAAATCAAATAATTCTAAGAATGGAAGAGGATCTTAGAGATTAAACTTCCACCTAGGCCACTTGTAATCCCAGCACTCAGGAGGCTGAGGCAGGAGGATCACTGTGAGTTCGAGACCAACCCGGGCTACAAAATGAGCTCAAGGCCAGCCTGAACTGCACAGTGAGACCCTGTCTCAAAAAGACAAAAAACACCCCCAAAAAACAAAACAAAACTTCCACTTAATGTAGGGTTCTCTTCTACCTTACTCTAGCTAAGTCATCTCGCACATGCTGAGGTGGTCACATGAGGAAGGAACTCACTAATAAGACAGCCCATTCAACTGCTAAATCAAATTAGTAGAAAGTTCTGACTTGAGTTGAAAATGTGTCTCTCAGTAACTGTCATTCACTGTTCTAATTCTGCTTCTAACTCCACCCAGAAATCATTTATTTTCTCACTAATTGCAGGGCTCAAATACCTGAAGTACCACAGGTTGAGTATCCCCGATCTGAAACGCATGGAACCAGAAGTGTTCCAGATTCTGGTATACTGGCACATACATTATGGGATTATCTTTTTTTCTTTCTTTCTTTCTTTTTTTTTTTTAAGATAGGATCTTATTATGTAGCCCGAGGCTGGCCTTGAACTCAGGGTAATTCTCCTCTGTCAGCCTCTGAATCAATTTTTGGGATTATGCTTTCACAATGAATTCAAATAAGGGGTTATACATAAAAAAATATCACATTAAAGTTTAAATCCCAGCACTTAAGAGGGCAAGACAGGAGGACCTTCAAGAGTTCGAGGCCAGCCTGGGCTACATGGTGAGTTGAAGGCCAGCCTGAACTACACAGTGAGACCCTGACTCAAACTCCACCTCCTAAATTTTTTTAGGCAAAGTGATGCATACGTGTAATTTCAGTATTGGAAAATGAAGCAGGAAGACTGCTGGGAGTTCCAGGGCAGCCCGGACAACATATTGAGTCAGCTTCTCTCTCTCTAGTAAACCCCCCCAACTCAAAATTTAAAGTTCATCTTTTTCTTGTAGGAATAGCAATAAAGACAACACTGAAGATATAAATTCTTAACTTGAAAAAAGTATAATTTAATTGTAAAGTAAAACAGTTCAATTATTTTGGCATGTTCAAGTATGAAATAAATGTGTAAAAAAAATTCCTTGTTTTTTTGGGGGGTGCGGCGCAGTTCTGGGGACTGAACCCGAGGCATTCATACTGAGCTCCTGCTTAGCCCTTGGGACTCATGAAGTGCTCAAGGTAGGACGTGAACTTCTGACCCTCCTGCTTTAGCCTCCCAGAATGCTAGGATTATAGGCGCACACTGCCACACTTGGCTAAATCTCTTAAATCTTTACAATTACTCTTTAAGAACTGGCTAAAGACTGAGAGACATATTTACACCAATTTTCACACACACATGTCCGTAGTGCAAGCCTTGCCAAAAACTTCAGTGTTTAAACAGAGGGTCAACACCAGCAATTTAGAGATCACTAGGACCTTTCCAATTTCCCTTTATGCATGAGAACTCAAGAACCAAAATCTGTGACACATCTCTAGGAACTGGGTAGGATTTCATGGGTTACCATAACGATATTTTATATCTCCCTTTGGTGTTCATCTTCTGTCCCCCCCCCCCCCCCCCCCCCCGTACCGGGAATTGAACTCACGACCTTGTGCTTGCCAGGCAGGCGCTGTGCCGCTGAGCTAAATCCCCAGCCCCGGTGTTAACCTTCTATTTAAATTTATTTCTGGCCCTCATCTTTCTTTTTTTAAAAATTGATTCATTTAATTTTTATTTTGTTATTGGTATACTTTAGATATACATATTGATCACATTCATCAGACAGAGGAATTTGTACCTGTGTATGACATATCTTGCTTCTTTTTTTTCCCATTCTCCTCCCTGATTTTTGTCACATACTGTTCAACAACTTTTTAAAAATTAATCACATAAGAAAAACAAGCTCTAATTACCACTTCATAATCTGTTTTCTTGTTCTTACGCATCTGGTTAATGGAAGTTATGTAACTCGGGGGAATGATGAGGTTTCTAAATTCTCCAAAATCACACTTCTCATTCTTTAAGCTATTTTTCATGCACTCATCATGGACTGTTTTCTGACACCAAATGCACCTGAGGGAAGGAAGAAACAAAAATCAGGTTATTTTAAACCATGATCTTACTGATTCACAAATCATCATCTGTCAAAAGCTGCAGCAGAAACTTCATCTACTGAGTATGAAATACGACAAAGACACGCGTCTGTTTCCGACAGTGAGAATGGAGCTGAAAGGTTTCACAGAATTTGGTGGCTCAGCAGTGCTCTTCAAGGGCGGTCTGGCGCCCTGAGATCCTTCAGGGTATCTGTGAGGTGCAGGTCGTTTTAATACTCCTGGAAACTATTTCGCTCTCATTCTCTCAGAAGTGCGCAGCGCAGTCTCCTGGGAGGCAGGTGTATGACATGCACTGCCAGAACCCGGATATACCAGCAGACAGGTCAGCAGCAGCTGACCTCTTAGTCAAGGAAACGTGCAAAAGTGTGCAACAATATCACACTTCTCACTGTTTTCATAAAAATACATTGTTGTTTTAAAAAGCAATAAATATTCGAACGAGTTTAGCTTTTATAACATGCTAAATATCAATGCGTATCATCCATGGAATCAAATGCTAACCCTAAGCAATGGGTGTCCCCTTTAGCTGTTTGCATTTCAGCTGAAATACTTGTGTGCGGCCTATGGAGCTTGCTGCCTAAATGCACCAGTGACTGACTAGGCTGTGAAGACCTCCTCAGGTCCAGCTTGGAAATCTCTAAACTTGGAACGTAAGTAAAACAGTCTAATTCCTTTTACCAGTTGATGGTTATGTGTTTGTTTCTGAAATACAGGTAAGTACATGCACTCAGATTTGCCTGTGTGTAAGAAGCAGGGAACAGGGCTGGTAAGGTCTGGGGTTGCTATTATTAATCTGCTAAGCATTTAATCCACTGACAGAGAAGGTAAATCGGACTGGACAAAGGCAGGCCATCAGAAAGGAATGGTTGTAAGTAATGTTTAAAAAAAGACGGGTGTGGTGATGCACACCTGTAATACTGGCACTCTGGAGGCTGAGGCAGGAAAACTGCAAATTCTAGTCCAGTCTATGCAATTTAGCAAGACCCTGTCTCAAGATAAATAGTAAAAAAGGGGGTGGAGAGGTAGCACAGTGCAAAGACAATTTCCAGTTCTGCAAGACAAAACCAAAAGATAAACACTCTTGCACCTTGAGGTCCACTCTCTGGGCTTTCTTTTAAAGAGTTCTTTTCTCTTCCTGATACTCAGATTTGTCAAATACTTACTGTTCTTTGCTTGAGACCCATTTATTGCTAAAAAGTTCTACACAGATGTGTTCAGGGAAACCTGCAATGGAGCTTGCATAATAACGTCTGTTGATACTTGCTTTCAAGTTGACGTGAGAAACTACAACGGACAGTCATACAGCTACATGTAAGGCCACCATGCACTGGTGACTGTTAACTGCATAGTACTTTATATATTTTTTCTCAAATTACTGCCAATATATTCACTTACTCAGGGGAGACAGGGTTAAATCTTCCCATAAGCTTTCAAGCTGGGTAGGCCTAGAGATACTGATCAGCCTAACTTCTAGTATCCACATTGCACAGGTAACCACATCCTGCACGTGACGACTCCACAAACATGCCTGAGGGGGCAGACACAGTCTGAGGCGTCACAAGGTTTCTTCTTCAGGAGGCGCTGTCCTTGTATGAGAAAACTGGTGTTCAGAGAAAGGCAGAATCTAGCTTCAGCCGCCTGGCACAGGTCTACACAACGATGGTAGCCTCACGAATGCCTCTGTTGTTAAGCTAAAGCCAAAGTGCTTACTAGTACCGTTTGCAATCCTGATACCTATTCTCTTCACTTATCTTGTAACTGGTCTTCAGTTTTGCCTAGAATTTCTCCTTTCTTCTTTCCTTCCTCCCTCCCTCTTTTTCTTCCTCACCTTCCTTCTTTCCTTCCTTTCTTTCTTTCGAGACAGGGTCTCACTTTGTAGTTCAAGCTGGTCTTGAATGTATTATGTAGTTCAGGCTGGCCTCAAACTTGCAGCAATCCTGTCTTGGCCTCCCAAGCGCTAGGATTACAGGTGTGTGCCAACACAACTAGTTAGGTTTACCCAGATTTCAAAACCAATGGAAAAATATAGTTTTAGCACCATGTTACTAGGTGATTGCTGCTTTTTTTTTTTTTCCTGGTACTAGGAAGAGAACTCAGGACCTTGTGCTTGCCAGGCAGGCACTTGTGCTGCTGAGCTATATCCCTGGCCCAAACTAATTTTATTGGTATTTTTTGGTTGTTGTTGTTTTTTTGAGACAGGGTTTCACTGTGCAGTTCAGGCTGGCCTTGAGCTCACTTTGTAGCCCAGGCTGTTCTTGAACTTGCAATGATTCTCCAGCCTCAGCCTCCGGAGTGCTAGGATTACCAGCGTGCACCACCACACCCAGCAGGTGACTGCTTTTGATCTTTTAAAATCCTTTTTATTTTGAAAATGTCAAACTTCCAGAAAAGTCAAAGTGTCCAAATTTGGAACGCAGTGGACCGCATTCCTAATCCTGGCCAGCTCTTGCAGTGGAACTAACATGGCAGAAGTTAGGATCATTGTTGTGTAGACCTGTGCCAGGCGGCTGAAGGTAGATTCTGCCTTTCTATGAACACTAGTTTCCTCATACAAAGACTACTTCTAGGAGAAGACTACTGGGAGAATTTAGGATCTTGTTAAATCCCCTTCACTCTGATCCTTTTATCCCCTTTCTTTTTGAGGTGCTGGAGATCTAACGCAGGTTCTCAGGCATGCTAGGGCAACACTCACCAACCAGTGAGATACACTCCCAGCCTGATTCTTAAGATGTTTTCCTAAAATCTGCTTTCTGTATTTCAGTATAAACTCATATTCTGCCCAATCATTTGAAAGTAAATGGCAGACACTGAGTTTACCTTTCAATATTTCAGCAAGTATTTCCTAAACTTAAGGATAGCCTGCTTGCTTTTAAAAATATATTGCTTTAAAATGTTTTCCAATAAACACCGGTATGCTTACTACCTACAGTCTAGCACTGACACCTTATTATAATTGCTTTGCCACATTTCCATGCATCCCTATCTAATTTCTGGTATAGCTCCAAGACAACTGCAGATATACGCTGGGCGCTGCATGCCTGTAATTCCAGCACTTGGGAGGCTGAGGCAGGAGGATCGTTGTGAGTTTGAGGCCAGCTTGGGCTACAAAGTGAGCCCAAGGCCAGCCTGAACTACATAGCGAGACCCTGTCTCAAAAAAACAAAGACAAAAAAAAAAAAAAAAAGAAAACTGCAGATATAAAAATACTTTCCCTAAATATTGCAACAAGATGTTTAGAATTATTTGTCAACAAGTTTTTCTCCTTCACGTAGAATTATACATAATAAAATGTACAAATATACACATTTGGTAAAATGTGATAAATACATTCATGTAACTAAAATCCTTATCAAGACATGGAACATAGCCGGGCACAGTGGCACATGCCTGTAATCCTAGCTCATGTGACCCTCCTACCTCAGCCTCTCAAGTAGCTGTGATTACAGGTGCGTATCATGGTGCTTGGCTCTGCTTCAGTACTAAAAAAAAAATATTTTTTCTGAGACAGGGTCTTGTTATGTAGTTTCAGGCTGGCCTTGAACTCATAGCAATCCTCCTGGCTCAGCCTCCCAAGTGCTGGGATTTCAGGTGTCACCACCTTGGCTTCTGCTTTAGTTTTTAAAAATAGTTTACGGAGGAAAACAAAATCTGGCAGCAATGTTTATTATTTCCCCTAAAAACAGCTGCTGCAGGAGGCAGCTGAATTATACATGAATTTGAGACAGTCATTTTTGAGAGTCACACTAGCACGGGGTTTGCCAAACTGATCTTGTGAATAAGGTTTTGCTAGAACACAGCTACGATCATGCATTTACTTTTTTTGAGACAGGGTCTCATGGTGTAGTTCAGAATGGGCTTGAACTCCCTGCGATCCTGCTGCTTCAACGTCCACATACTGGGATTACAGGTGTGCGCTACCTCGCTAGGCCATGGCCGTTCATTTACATACTGCGTTTTGGTTTATGTCTCCATCCCTCCCCAAAGCCTCAGGTGCTCAGGGCGGGGTTTCTGGATGCGTGACTGGATCACAGGGTGCTAGAGTTAGATGTGAGGCTAAGAGGTGGGGTCTGGTCAGAAGAGGTGGCCCTGGGGCTTCACCTGGCAGGGGTACCTCCCTCCCAGGATCCTGCCCTGGCCCCTTGTGCAGTGGCTGTCACGATGGAGGTAAGCAGCTCTCCCCCCCAGCTGCCCGTGGATGGAAACCTCTAAGAACATAAACCAAAATAAACTCCTCCTTTAAGTAGCCGGTGTCAGGTACTGTGTTCCAGCCAAGGGGAAGTAACTGAGACCTGCGGTCTATGCCTGGCTTTGTACTAAGCAGGGTTTAGTAGTAACAATAGGCCCAAGGCTTCCTGAAGCCTAAAGTTCTGTACTTACTTTTCGACTCTTTACTTCTGCGAAGATGACTTAGTACCTTTCATTATTTCAGATACTTAATATAATGAATAAATGTATTATAACTGAGAAACATAAAATTTAAGGTCATAGCCAAGACAAAAGCCAGTAACATTCTTCTACAAGTCAGAAGCTTTGTTTTACTCATCTCAGTGTATGTAGCAGTAGAAAAGAGAAGGAATGTAATGAAGAAAAAATCTTATAAAATAAAAAAGCACTGTTGGGTGTGGGGGCGCATGCTTGTAATTCTAGCCCTTGGGAGGCTGAGGCAGGAGGACTGCTACAAGTCTGAGGCTAGCCTGGGCTAGATAGTGAGTTCAATGTCGGCCTGAACTACACAGCAAGACCCTGTCTTAAAAACAAACAATCAAGGCACTAAGTTCCTTCTCTCTTCCTGAGAAACAGTATTACAGGGAACTTTTTTTTGGTTGTTGTCTGTTTGTTTGTTTTTGTCATTTTGGAGATGGTCTCATGTGCAGTTCAGGCTGGCCTTGAGCTCACTTTGTAGCCCAGGCTGGTCTCGAACTCGCAATGATCCTCCTGCCTCAGCCTCCTGGGTGCTGGGATTACAGGCATGCACCACCATGCCCCGCTAAAATAAAATTTAAAACAACATACTGACATAACAGTGCTCATGCTAATGGAAAAAGGTTTTTTTTTTTAAGTAAAAAAACTAAAAAGTAGCTTCCTATCTAGTCCCAGTTTTCTGGTTCAGTTTTGACTGATTCATTTATTTTTTGGTAAGGGAATCAAACTCAGGACCTTGTGCTTGCCAGGCAGGTGCTTATGCCACTGAGCTATATCCTTGGCCCTATTTTTTTTTCTAGTTCAGTTTTTAAACATGTTCATGCACCTCTCTATCTGTCAGCAATAAAACTTATCATGAAGATTTCAGAATCCTAATCTGAGGGCTAGAAATCCTGCAAGCCAGTCCTATTCTACCTTCCATGCTCTCAACCGTGGAGAAAGAGCAGATGATAGTGCAAAGCACTCTTTGCTATTTCAGACAATCTGCAATAGAAATGTGTTGTCCAGAGGGGAGGAAAAAGCCGCTAAAGTATTCTTGGTTTAACCAAACTCACTTATCTAAGATGCTGCACATCCTGAAAAACCATCTGCCGAAGGAATATTCCTTCCAGGGTTCCTCCGGGGTACGTGTCACTGAAGCGCCAACGGCTGTATTAGCAAAGGACACGTGAAAGTACTGCCTTGCAATGACACTTTCACGGCGCAAAACCGATGATGAATCGGTTTTGTGGCTGAAAAGTTTGTCTATATTTCATTTTCCTTTAAAATGGAGAAAGGAGAGAGACAGACAAAGAGAGAGACCATACAGTGGCCAGGGGGCAGGCAGCACTTAGGGACCCCTGGATGAGAGTAAAGAGCCAAGTTTTATGACCCCAAAGAAAAGGCTGGCTGAGGACTGCAGGCCAGAGCACCCTCTCGCTCAGCACAAGACTCCTGCAGAGCCGCGCCTTTGCACATCGCAGCCGCGGAGGTCCACAGGCCTGCAGCTGAGGCCGTCCGCGGAGAGGAAGGAGGGCGCTGCAAGTCCCCACAAAGGCCGTACCTGTGGTCGCAGAGCTTGGGCTGCGTGCCGCACTGCTGCTTGCAAACCACACAGTAGCTGCACAGGGGCACGTTGCCGCGGATCCAGTGGTGGGGCATGGCGTCCGGGGCCCTGCTGTCGCCTTTGAGCATGATCTCCTTGCACGGGAAGCGCTTGTCGGCCTTCTTGAGGCAGCCCTCGTCCACGCGGAGGCCGCAGCAGTCGCAGAAGGCGCCCTGCAGGATGTGCTGCGCGCACACGCAGCAGTAGGTGGGCTGGCTGAACAGGTCCGTGTCGCGCCAGCCGTGCTTGCTCTTGCGGAAGATGTCCCTGCGGTGCAGCTGGCGCCGCGAGCGCTGGAGGCTGCACCAGAAGGTGATGAACACGGGCAGCAGCACGGAGCACAGCGTCCACAGCACCAGGTGCTCGTCGGCGAGCAGGCCCTGGGCGGGCGGGCCGGGCGCCGGCCGCCCCTCGCCGTCCATGC